AGCATGATCTAACTGTGAATCTCCAAATATTTTTGCATGCCACTGAAGATAGGAGGCAGGTGACTAAACTATAGAAAGCATTTTCTCGGAATTACAAAGAGATGTTTGGATGAGCTGACGAACATAAGTAACTGAACAAAAAGGACAGAGATGTGCAATTTCTTATGCTATTCTTCATAATTTACTTGAAACACGTAACAAACCTTCTACCCCTATACGAAAAAAATGTTTAAATATTTAAACTATTTAAAATTTATCTAAGGTATTTAAATCTTGCTAAGTGATACACACTTACAAATGTACACACTTTCAAAACACTCATGTTAAAACTGTGTATCAAGAGGTACCAACAAGACATATAAATGTCTTAAAAGTTAAATCAGATTTGAAATACTGAACACAATAAGACCCCCTGCCTTTCTGAAGTTAGTGATAGAATTACCTGCTTTTCTTGAATATTGAATATTGTTCAATTGCAACATTAAAATTAGTTGGCTGTTAATGGGGCTTAATCCCCAAAATAAAGGATAAAATGAAACAAGCTTCTGGGAGAATAAATTAGAAATATCTTTTGATAGCAAATTCTTCCAGCAGTTCTATTGCAAATGACTCACAGATACATTTTAATGTCAAAAGTGGTATCATTAAATTATCTTGCCTGACAAATTTCTTAATATGGACCACAGATTTTCATCCACATGCTGGTGGTGTCACTGTCCCATTAGCATTAGTCTGAATAAATTTATGATTAAAAAAAAAAAAAGGATGGTTTAAATGTATCAACTTCTTACTGGTTCAAATGGTGTGGTACTGGTTGAAGTGATTTAAATGGTATCAACTTCTTTCATTGATTAATCAGCACAGCTTTTACAGTTCTTGCCTTCTTTGCCATTTTAACTTGCCTCCCTTTGATTTCTACTCACTTTCTTTTTACCTGCTTATTTTCAGGGTTAAAGAGCTCTTCAGTGCCTTGTTTTCTCTCTGCTTCCACCCCTTAATAAACAGATCTATTGAATTTGTAATAAATTATTTCATATGCTTACCAATTTATGCATTTACCCCCCCTCCCCAGGTCTTAAGTTATTTGCATCTCCATAAATGCTCCTTTTACATCAAACATAGCCCACTGCTGTTTGCCATTATTCCACAATTAATAATTTAAACCAATTAAATTAAAATGTGATTTTTGTACTCATCCAGCTTTACCGAGGTTTCATGTCAATAATTATTATTTCATCTACAAAATCTTGACAATTAAGAGCTTCATATTTATGTGATATGTAGTTTTATCTGGTAGTTTGTAAACTTCACATAGAATATTTTTTTCATATTACATTATCGTTATGGTAGTGTATGAAAGTGCTTATGAGGGTTTGGGGTTTTTTTCTATCTTTTTATTGTATAAAATTGTAAATACTGAATTAGGGAATCAACAACATTTTGCTAAATTTCTTTCAATAAAACTGTTTTTCACACAATGAAAAGACTGCTTTTTAAAGTGTATTTTTATGCTTCAAATTTTAAGGGTCTTCCTGGTCATTTAGGTCCTAATCAAATTAGAATATAGACTTGATGCCTTGCTTCTGTTCCTTTTCTTTGTAATCTGATCCAGAAAAGAAAAACTATACAGTTCAACAAAATAGTGATTTATTTATTTATGAGCATTATAAATATTAATACACCAGCTGTAAATCACATAATAATCTCTGACATCTCTGAATAAGGTGCAGAACATCCTGCCTTTCAGCTGCTTGAGACTAAGGCAACTGTGACAATTGAAAATGACATCCCAGTCTTCTATATTGTTTGTGAAAGGAATCAGAGCCTTTGGAATGGATACTAGAGGAAAAAGAACACTAAACAGATGAAGTAAATATAAAGAAAACTTTGGTCATGGTGGCAGCCAAGTTTTGGGTTTTACTTAACATTTTTGGACTATATACTCTTCCTGAAGATTAAATCTACTTTGTAGTAGACAAAGTATTGTGTAGACATTGACATTTATTTACTGTTTTAATAATTCTACTGTTACCAGAAGAGGAATTATCATCCTGAAACACTAAAATAGCATTCAGTATGCATTCTGTAGGATCTGGAAGCTCATATTCTCCACTGTAGTGCTTTCATGAAGAGAAACTTAGAGAAGTCTCTCAAACTGAGGAAAATTACAATTCTATTTAAAAATATACACTTTGGGTCGTAAATCTATCTAATCCAGACTGTTCTTGTGAAGTTCATCAGAATTTTAGTCACAATTAAGGAGTGTAAAATGGAGAAAAAAACAATTACAGACATATTAAGTAAAGTCCTATCTCTGTGGCACGAGGGACAGTTATTGAAATTGCCAGTATACACAGGAGAAATTACCAGCTACCTTGGGTGACAGTTGCATCCTAATGAATGTAAGTCTGAATATAGACAATTTTTTTTTAATATCTCATTCAAATGCAAGCAAGCCATGCAATACAGATACACTTTGCTTGGTAAATGATGTGGTAACACTTAACTAAAGCACTACTTCTCACTCCTGAGCTAATTCATACAGAGGACTTGCAAGTCCTTCTACTTGAAGTGAATATTAGCCAGAAGACCTGTGTCATTCTCCAAGTCAAATAGATTTATAACAAAAATAGCATTTGAGGTACTATAAAAGGGAAGAAGTTTGAAGGTGATCACAAAACACCAGATTGACTTTTTTTTTTTTTTTTTTTACATGGTCTGTGGTTCAGCAATAACCATAGGGCTTGTTCAAATGGGTCTAAAAAACACTCATTGCTTAAATGGAGACTTTTAAGATGCTGGCGTAAAAGCTGAACAAAACCTTGAGTTTCTACAGATGTTCAATGTAGTAGTGTAATGGGAAGCTGTTTTTCTTGGTTTTATTTGCTTTTATATTTAGTGAAACCATAGTTAAGTTCTATAGCAACTGCTGTAGAAAACTAGAATATGGTGAAGATTAATGGTCCAATGTCAGAAGCTTCAATTCCATTGCAACGATTTTCCCACTTGCAGTTTTTATTATTTACAGGTTTTTGTCAGCTGAAGAACCTGCTTGAAACATTTCAGCATTTTATAAGCCTGACCACATTTACAGAAAATATACAAATAACTGAATATGAATAAAGTGATAAAGAAACATATAAATTATATTCTTAGATTACTAATGCTGGAATTGCCTCTGTGTTAATATAGACTGAGGCTGGAAAATCTACACCTCTTCTCAGACAGTTTGGATGGCTGGATGATAAAAAAACTCCAGCATCTTTTCTGTACTTCCATACAACAGTGCCAGAAAGGCACTGGTTTAGTTTTTACTGCTTTGTGGACTGTCTCCTTGGCTCTCCTTCTGCTACATGTCTGAGAAACAAAAACAAATCAAAAAACTAATGTATTGATATACAAGAATAGGAGACACAGAACAAAGGGGGGAAAAGAAAAATGGCCAAAATTGCAAGTGAATTAAGACCATCAACAACGACAAATAGCTAAAAGAAAAGAAGAAGGACCTTTAAATTACAGAAAATTATATGGCACAAATTCCATACATTTCTATTTAAAGAGTATGAAAAAATCTTTGGATAAGTCATAAGGAGGAGTCATCTGGCTACAAAGCACTTCATTCTCTGAAAAAGAACCTTGATGCTTATAGCATTAAGCCCAAAGCCTGAAGGATTCAGAGGTTACCAAAGAGAATGGGGGGAAAAGTGCATGTAAGAAATGGTATTTTTCAACTCTATCAAAGCCTGACTGTGTTCTTAGAGCACTGTTCACTTACACCCTCAGTGCAATGCCTTTACCATGTACAACTTGTCCTGTTCCTCCTCTTCCTGCATGAGCACTGCTAGGGAGCCAAGATTTGCACACACTTGGTAATTGAAGGAGATCCCACAGGGATGGGATGTTTTGTGTTTGGGAGGTTCTACTCCTTAATGAAGACTGCAGACCTCACAGCCAACACAGCAGTAAAAGAAAACTTTTCACTTCTCTGTTCAGACCGTTAGCAAAGAGGACTTTTTCAGACTATAAACATGGTGGGCTTTTTTCTTTGTTTTGTGGTTTTGTTTTATTTTTGAAGTCTCAAGTGCAAAAAGTTTCCAAATTTTATTGAGCCATTGCAATTTCATTCACCTCCCTAAGGAAAACATAGTGCACCTGTGTGACCTACAAACCTAAGAAATGTACCATTTATGTCAGTAAAAGGTCTTCCCAGTGGAAAACACTTTTAAAAAGCATGGTATTTGCATATTTCTTGTTGATACTAGTCTGTCTCTGCCTAGATAAAAAATAGAAATGTTAAAATTACCTTTTATGTAATTTGGACAAAAACATCCCCAAAACCAACATAAAGCAGAAAGCACTTCACATGAATAGAAAAACGCATCTCTTTTCCTTCTCATTTGAGAAATTTTGAGCATCTGTTTTTCACTGTTTTTAAAACAGAGAAAAGACTAGACAAAATAATTCTGATTGAATTCACAATTAAAAATTTGAAACAATGTATGATAATGGTCTTATTTAACTTGCTACTCATAATTTTAGCTTTCTAAACGTATCATTATCTCTTCTCATTTATTACACTTCAGACAGACTGATGAAAATGGAAAAAATAAGACAAAAGTTTTCAAAAGGGTATTGCATATTTTTTCCTAGTGAAATCATTCTTTGCATCTTCTATTAGTTCCACCAACATATTTGAAAACAGCCAAACCGATCTCTGCTTCTTAGGTCCTCATTTAGAAAAGGAAGTTTTACACTAGTTAAATGTGACATTAAAGGAAAATAAACTCCATGCAGCAGATGGAGAAATAAGGTTGTTTCCTAGTCAAAATAAGTTTATTTCCAATTTTGCCATGCCTTCTAGTTTGATTCTGTACCTACTGACACCAGAACTTCTGATATTTGACTTTAAAGGGGAAAAAATAGATCTCTTTCTGCAAGGTAGTTAGTGTTATGCTTTTGTCTGTCAAAGTAGCAATTTATTTTTTACTTTTATATCATACCTTGAGAATTTTGCACATTATCTCATAAACTGAAAATGTTTTCTCAGCTCGTGTCCAATCCCAGGTCGTGACCTTTAAAAAACAAACAAAACACAAAATAAACAGAAAAAGAAATTAAGTTATTTTTGTTGGTTTTTAATAATTAAGTTAGTTTATTAGCAAAAAAAAAAAGCCTAAACTATTTACATTGATTAAAATATATTCAGAAAGACCAAGCACTGCCTCAAAGCAACAACCAGCAGGGACCAGACTGTTCTATCCAGGCAATGCTTAGGAGACATCCTCCCTGTCCTTACACTGCAGTTCTTTTGCATGCAGCCTGCTCTATGCAAAATGATGATACTTCCCCTGGGAACTTGCAGGGGTTGCAGTGAGATCCTGAAAGGATGCAGCCCTTGAATTTGTATCTCACAGAGCCAGGGCCCTGCCTGTTAGAAAACATGCTTCTCATCACTTTCCTCCTTGTACTGCATGCCACTATTTGCTCCCGATCACCTGCAGGACCTGCCAATCCATAAAAACAGTGTCCAATCTTACAATGTCCCAGACACTTACCAGGGGGATCCAGGGGGGAAAAAAAACCCAAGCATGAAAAAACATTATATATATTCACTTTTTTTTTCTTACCAAGATTAATCTACTTCTAAATTCTAACAAATACTTGAAGTATAGTCTATTTTTTTTCCTCTTTGTTTTGGGATTTCACAGCTGGTTTTAACTATATTCATTTTAGGCAACTGTTTTACACAGAAAAATGCATATATGAAAGAATTGAATTTAAGACTTAAATGAGACAGAAAGGGAGAGATTAATATATTCAGTAAGGGAAGAGTTAAAGCAATATCAGAACAGTGTATAAAATTTCCAAGGAAAATGCAAGCAGTAAACAGGAAAATGTTAAAAATCTCAAAATAAAGAAGAAGGCACAAAATAGAATTAAATTGAGGATATAAATGAATGAATAATCATCTTAATGGTAAGAAACTTTGGACAGTGGCCCATATCTAAAGGAAAACAGCTGTATGATTAAATTTGTTAGACACAATGAAGAGGGTGATGAAAACATACATTACTGCTTCTATCAGATTCAGGATAAACTTTTTGAAAAAATTTTGATAAAATATATTCTAGAGCCCAAAGAACAAATATTATCTGAAATAAATTTATTTCTTATTTAAAGACAAAATGATCATTAATAGATCAAAATTATTTTGATGTTGTATGAGAAAATTACATATCTAACTAATTTTTACTTATAAACATTGGTGCAATGAAAAGTCCTTTAAGGAAATCACAGGCATGAATTAAAAGTTCAAAAACACAGTGCTATAGTTCCTCTTCTGTTAGAATTTTCTTTATTTGTAGTCATTGTGAAATGTAGTCTTCACTATCTTATTGAACTGTGGGTATTAAACCACAAAGCTACTCTTTCTCCTATGGAAAAAAAGATAAATTTTTCACCATGGACAGAAAAAATGAGGAGAAGAGCCTTGCTACAGCCCCAGTGAGCCCACAACACCCAGTCACACCAGATGAAGTCCTCTTGTGCCATGAGGAAAAGCCATTATTATTGCTCCTGAAGCACGAAGCCATTTGGAACTACGTTTAAAAATTTACTACAGGCTCCATACTTTGGGAAGAAATAAAAGAGCTCCCTCTTCTCCCCTGGTTTCCTGATTTTGTTTGTAACTGTAAAGGGACTTCTTTTCAGGTCAAAACAAAACTGCTTCTGTACAAAGATATGTGCAAAGCAAAAGCAATTGTAAAATTAAGACACCCACAGAAATTGCTGCACCCTTCACTTTTAATGTTTTAATTTGAAATATTGAGTAGCAAAAGAAAGGATGTTAGTGACTCTTTCTCAAGTAAATTTGCAATTATAAATTGGAAGGAACTGAAAACCACCAGAGTTGACAGAATGAATAATTCTAAAGAAGGAAATGTGCCACTAAATAATATAAAAAAATACTAAAGAAGTAATTTTCTTTAAAAAATTCAAAATGTATATAAGAAACACTAGGATTGCTCTTTTTTATCTGAGCATGGGAAGTAGAAGTACTATTGATCAAAAAGATAAAAAAAGAGGCAGGGGAGGCTGTTGATAGACATCATTTAAACACGTTTCCCTAATGTGTTAGTCTTTGGTAGAGACTGGGCAAATACTTTTGTTTCATTTTCTGGTTAAGAAAGTTTGTAGGACATTTTTTTTCAGAAAGCAACTTTGTCCAAGCAGTTTATACTGTACATATAATTAGAACAGTTTTTATTTTAACTACACTTTATACATCTCCTAAAAAGAAGCTCTGAAACTGTCATTGAAATATTGTTCATATTTTCTAGTCCCTGGAAGAGACAAATCTTCAGAATAGCAAATTTAACCGTATGTGTAAAAGTCTGGATATAGAAAGTAGGATTTTAGAAGTGTGCAATTATTATATATATTACATGTTGGAACTGGATGAACTTTAAGGTCATTTCTAACATAAACATTCTATCATTCTATGTCTTTAAGGCAGCTCTGTAGGAGCTCTGTCCTAAAAAAGCATGCTTATCATTCTGCTTCCCTCCTACTCCATGAAGAGAAAATATTTTTCTCTGCATTTCAACAGTTTTTCTATTTTAGACTAGGATTCAGAATCTGGCAATACAAATTCATTTTGTCCTTGCAGCTAAGCTGAAACAAGAGCTATAAAAACTTGAGGATGAATTTCTTGTTTTATACAATAGCAGCTTGCCAAGATCTTCCTTACTCATGCTACCATGAGTAAGATTCAGGTTCAGATTCTTCATATGAGCATGTTCCTTTCACACCCATTATTCACCCCCCATCAACATTTACCCCCTACAAGTATATTATTGCTATAAATTTATGATTCTTCAGTAAAGATGTTTGTGGTCTCTTCCATAGTTCTTAGAAAATAATAATCTTCCTTTTGTGTATTGAAAAGGATTTCTCATCATTGATTCTCATTCTATCTAGTACCCAGAATGGAGTTGGTTTTACTTGACAGGCAGCAAATGCTCAAGTAGGTCTGCCAAAGACACAAGAGATGTTTTTGAATTAAGGTGCTTGTTAGCATTAATCTGACGTTTTAATCAGACCCTGAAAAATTAATTAATAGAACTGAGAGAACCAAAATCCCACACCCATGAACTAGTCTACAAACATTGAACACATGAGGTTTTCAGTTCATACTTCCTTCCATTCCTCATGTCTTTCACATGTTTTTAAACCTTTTGCTAAACGAACACCAATAGTTAGTGATGATCAATCTAAAGACTTGCAAGATGACTTTGAGCTACCTCAGGAAGATATTGCCCCAAGAGGTAGTAGATGCCCTGTCTCTGAAAATATTCAAGACCAGGTAAGACAGGCAACCTGCCCCAGCTGAAGGTGTCCCTGCTTGCTGTAAGGAGATTGGACTAGATGACCTTTAAAGCTCCCTTTCAACCCAAACTATTTTATGATTCTTTTTCAGGCAGGAAGGAGCTACAGCCTGGATCTGACAAACACAGAGTTTAGCAGCAGTCAGAAAGGTCACCCAATAAACAGGACAAATTAATTCACATGACTCTTCCTGCTGCAGGCATGGATGGGACTGCTACTGTCTCCTTAGCAACTGGCTTAAAAGTTAGCTAGAGGATCTTTACTGCATCTTAGATGTACCATAAGACAGTGAAAGCAAATTGCTGAGTATAAGATGAGCACTAAAATGTTCTCTGGTGTTCCCAGTGAGATTCCAATTAATATATTTAACTTGAACAATTTCATTTGATTCCCTACCTTCCTTTTGGTGCTCTCAAGCAGCAAAAACTTACATTCAGGATGGAGTCTAAATAGAGATATATTGCTATCTCTACAGCATGTAAAAAGCTTTGATATTTCCCCAAATCTCAGCAGTTTCTCCAGAAGATTGTTCAGTTTAAATGTAACCATGTTGCTTTGGGCCTGTTCTGTCTGCCAAAAGAAAATTAAAAGCTCCTTTGCAACATGAGCAGATTTCTCTTTTATTTTTTTTAGCGTTCATTGAAATGTGGGAAAATAAGTTCTTGCTAGATACCCAATCACCTGAGGAAGAGCTGTTTCCTCTCACTTCTATACCACACACTCTAGAACTCTTCAATGCTGTTAGTTACAGTCCTTCTAGCCCAATGAGTGGTACGTCACTGTGAAAGACTTGTCCACATTACATGACATTATTTTATTTAATAAAATGTATTCCCACTAAGCATAAGAAGCATACTTACTGGAGGTGCTAGAAATTTATACAGGGAAGATCCCCTCAGTGCTAGAAACTTTGGTGTGTACATTCGGTCCTGTAGGGAGTCTTGTTCCCGTTCTTCCGTCCAGCCCATGTAGACTATCTGACAAAAAAATCAATAGTGTTGAAAATTTCTCACAAATTTTCAGTTGTTTCCAGTATTTCACATGCATAAACTGATGTCTGTCAAATTTAATATAGCTGCAAACATTGAACCCCAGATACAATATCATATATTGGCAGTTTTTATAAATTATGCCTGTAAGAACAATGCAAAAACATGAGACGAAATACTTATTGTACTAGAAACAACACAAAAACCTAAACCACGTACTCCAGGGATGTTAAAGGTGTATTCCACGTATTTGCTGACAGATCATGTCAGTGAAATTTAATGTAAGTGAACTGTAACGAGCCACCAGTCAGGAATTCTAAGTCAAGCAGCTGCTACTATACAGCAACATAGATAGAGCCTCCACATGCAAGTTCACAGTGACACATTAAACAATACAATGTTACAAATTTAATTTCAAATTAATTAATGTCAATTAGTATTTTTTTTACTTCCTGAAAATCTCTTTGTAGGAGTTTTGAACCTTTTTGCTTGGAAATAGGAGATTAGCAGACTGTTTTCAGTCACTACTTTGAACAGACTAAGATGTAACCAGAGAGCTGTAGACCCTTACTACTACCAGCAGATCTTCTGACACAGAAGTTTGAACTAGAACTTATTCCAGTTCGCTTCAGGATGTAATTTCCTGCCTATCCTGTTAATTTTGAGTTCTTTAATATCAAATTCTTAAAGAGTAGAAGAACATGAGTCACCACTATGCCAGCACCTGGAGAACCACTGAACAGGGAGTAGACACATCATGGGACCTTTGATTTATAACAGTGTCATTAGCAATAAAATACATTTTCCAGTGTGCATGGGTACACTACTGCTATGGAAAATAGTTCAACCCATATTTCATACAGTGCTGCTAATGAGACAGATCTATTTTTAAATGTCTCTGTGAAACTGATCTCTACACTAACAAGTTATGGGACCCTGTCTTATATGTAAGTAATATTAATGTAAGGAAAATGGTAATAATTATGTAACAAAAAGGTAAAAAAGCCAACAAGTGTGTTTGGTGCACCAGTGGTATGAATGTCCCTAAAATTAATGTATTTACTGCATGTTTTATCCTCCCAGATTTTAAATGCTGTGTACCTTTTGAAAAGATATTTACACTAGTTTATTTCTGTACTTTTGGGCAGAGAATTTTCAGCAAAATTTCTTCATGAAATATGTAGTAAAATAGTGTATCTATTGTTTCTCTTTTTTTTCTTTTTTTTTTTTGGGTGGGGGATAGGGTAGGCTGTTTTTTTTTTAACATTACACACTGGAAAATATTAGCTTTTTTGAAATCCCCTTGTATGAAATCAACACTACTAGTCTCTGTCACAGTTTATTGGATATTTTATGGTCTATAACCAGAGACAGGGAGAAGCTTCATTTTTCTCTTACTATAGTGACACCTCAGTACTTAATTATTTTGTCAATATCAAACACTAAAACTGTCATATAGTCTCAGGTTCAATGAAGAACATGTGTTGAAGTATCTGTTTGTTTGGTGACTAAGTTTATAAAAGTCAAAAAGAAGACAGATCTGTACCACAATATTCAACCATCAAAAAGAATGTTAAACACTGTATTTTTATGCAATAACTAAAAAGCCATGTTCTCTGAAATCTCATTCCTTCCTGAATGAAGAACAACTCAGAAGGAAAAAAAAAAAACCCAAACAAACAACCAACTGGTAAAGTAAAATAAGTTTTAAATTATTTAAATTCAATGTTTATTCAAATTTCTCTCATTTCTGCTGTTTCATATGCTATCCATAAATAAGATCCTCATCCCTCTGACTTGATTGCAGTCTCTAGATCTCAGTGACCAAGGTGGATTTACACAGAAGAGGTGTGTAAGTATAAACAAATTGGACTACTATGTGCAGAAGTTTGGCACATTTTCTGTCTATAACTGAAGAAAATACACGATCTCTAATTTCTAGGAATTGAGACATCTATGTTTCAAAATCAATTCAATTGAATTAATTTGGTTTCATCTTGATTTCTCTAATTTAAATTGGACACACAGTAAGGTATCATCTTGTCTGATGATATTTAATATCCCTGTAACACTGTACATAATCCCTTCTTAGTGTTTTTCTCTTTCATAATTCTACATCTGCTGTTCATCACAATAACAGGATACAGTCACTCATGCTGTGCAGATGTATTGATATTCCACATTTGATTGACTCAATACTAAAGTAGCCATGAAATTCAGGGCAATTGCTCCCTTAGATATTTGTCTCTTGCCTCTGTAGATCATGAGGAAAAATTAGATTGATTTTCCAGACAACATGCTGTACCAGAAGTTTTATCAACAGAAAAGCATTTCTCCTTCAGGCTCAATACCTACTATTCAATATAGAGAGGAATTGTCAAGCAAAGGCTGTATGATTATGATTAGGGACATTTTCAAGTTTGTTTGAGTGCATGTGTATATTCACATGTGTGGATTATAATAGCACAAGCCATATTCTGGAAAACAAGGCAAAACTAAACAAATACTTGATAACTATTTTAATAGATAACTCTGAGAACTGGGATAACTTTTAAGTTCCTAAAGTGATCTCAGTTTATCTAAACATATAAACATGTGAAATTAAATAAAATATTGTAATTTTTTTATACAATGGAGGTGAGAAACTGTTGAAAATTTTCACTTTTGGTGGTAAAGTAGATTACATTTTTGAAACATTTCTGTTACTGGAAAACATTCTGTCTTCTAAAAAAGCTTTGACCTATAAAAACTTAGAGAAATTTATTTACTGGAAAGGCACTGTAACTTACAAAATTAGTTCATGCATATATATGAATTGAAATATTGGATAAATATCATATATGACTGAGGGTTTTGGACCATATCTCAGTGTAGCTGCACATGGGGACTTGGCACATATAGCACTTCATGAAATGATGAAATTCCAGAAATTTCATTTCTGAAAATAACTGCTTAGCACAGACACATGATAAATAGATATAAGTGCTAATCACAAGTAGACAGTGCATAGCATTCTGCTTTATAAAATCAAAAATCTAGTTACTTTTTAATCTTATCAAGTTTTTTTGAGTCTCTATAAAACTGTTGATTGTTATCAACAAACGTGGAAGGGGTGGTGAAAATAGATTTTATTTATGATTCACATTCCATTTGAAAGATAATTTTTGCATTCCTGGTTTCTAACTTAACTCAAGCAGCTCATTCTTCAAAGTCAAATGGTGACACAAATTAGTTAACTTAGTGGCTGCTGGTTCAGTAACAAAGATTCAATAAGTCATTATGGTTTATGGGTTGAATCATGGACAGTTTAGAAAAATCTATATTGAAATGATAAATGAAACAGGACAATTTCTTCAGTCAAAAATCCATAATCTTGTAATTTAATATGTTCTTAAATCACACAGACATCCTAATCAAGCAAGATAAATTGCCATATTTTATATCAGTCTAATATATTGCTAAAAATTACTTAAATAGCCTTGACTATCAGAGGGCTTTTTCAGAGTTTTTACACCAATTTCATTATATTTAAGGAAGAATAGTAAGACAAGAAAAAATACAAGAAATTTCCCCACAATGAAATGTAATACCTATGTGACATCATAAAAGTGAGGCAATTCAAAGATCAGAACTGCTGCACTGACAGCTTTTTATCTTGCAAGTCTGATACTCATACTCACATTTTGTGAAATTGTGCTGTAGGGTGACAGGATGAACAGGGAATCCAAAGGCAAATAAATATGTCAGACAACACAGAGGGAAAGTAATGAGGGATGAGAAATTCAAATAGCTCTCTCTGCTGTGGTTTTAATATAATTTTTTCTGTACTTTTAAAAATAATTTTTTGTATAGTCTAAAAATTTATTATAGTCAGTTGTTAGCAGAAAAACAAAAAAAACCACACTGGAAATGGGAAAAAATGGAAGAAAAAGGGTGATCACAACACAATCATTGGCAAAATCTATTTTGCTTAGCAATTGATTTAGGAAAAGGCTTAGGAATTGTATCTGAGTTAAAAAAAAATAAAAAAATCTAACGTCAACAGAAGAACTAACCACATAAAATTTTGAATGGATGTTAGAAACATTTTGCCTTATTGTAAATGAAATCATAATGTCTCTAATCCTCTTTTTCAGGTTTTTGAAAAGCCTGCTAATCTTTCCACCTTTTTTTTAATTCCTGTGAATTATTTTTTTATCTTCCTCTTAAAAAAAAGTCCACTATAACTTTAGCTATCATTGACAGCTCTAAAGATCACTTTCATATTTTTGGACCACTCAACTACGAATAGATTATTCCATCTAAGATTGCACATGTATTGTATCTCACAACTTAATTTTCTCCTGTGTAAGAACTCACATTGTCATCTTGCTACTAGACCAAGCCTGAGTATCGGTTTTCCATTTGGTTTTGTCTTGTTCTATTTTTGAAATGACCACACAATAATGGAGGAAATATTATCAGGTCTTAAAGTAAATCATGTCAGAGAAAACAGAAAATATTTCTTAATTATCAAAGATGATTTTTTGCTTACAATCCAGATAAATTAAAACTGGTATCAAAGATTGAAAACAGAGCACATCTGCTTTCTTAGCAAACAACACCAGAATCAGAGCAAATAAGATGTTTACAGTAGCAAAACTTGCCTGGACTTCCATAGAGATCTGTCCAAAATTAACAGTGCTGTTTGAAAAACCTGCACAACAATTTATGTTACATCCAACAGCATCCTATGAGAAAACTTTGCACATTCCCAATGAGATGTACTGGATCTTTCTAGAACTCAGGACTATATTAACTGGTGCATGCCGTTGCTCCCTCCACAGGTTTGAAAAATGATGGCTACATCTGGATACAGGACAGTTTTCCAAACAGGTAAAGAACTGTGTGTTGCTTTTCTTGGTTTCTTCTTCTTGTTATAATCTACTAATTCAGAGAAACATTTTGGCTCACTTATTCGATTTTTCATCCAGTGCTACATATTAATA